TTTAAATGTGCTTTTCGCCATAGTAGGAGATATAGTAAAATTGGACACAACTTACAGGTCTTAGAAACAAAGTGGGATTTATTGTCCTCTCCTGAATCCCTGCCCTCGTGGCAACATAGCTGTTTGCGTTTTTACACTGGTGTGCGCTGGTGTTTCTGCTTCGATGCACTTCAAGTGAAATTAAGCTCTTTATTTTAGACTTGGTGCTGACAAATTTAGAGAAATAGACTCAGTCTAACATGAACTGCCAGAGCTATGCTGGCAGAATACTAGCCATTTTATCGGCATAATAAGCAAGCTAGATACAACTCTACCATCTTTCTTTCAGTGAGGTATCATCTCCTCACCGGATCTGATTGGTGGGGTTTTATTTGTAATATCATATGGTTTTTACCCTTGAATGTAAATGCCTTAAGGAGATTACTGTTGTGAACTGCAACTACATAAAACTGAATACTTTTGCCTTTTAATATACTGCAGTTGAATTGCACATTACTACCACCCACTACAAAACACCTTTTACAGTTGCTGAGGTCTGTGATTTATGTGTGCACATGAGACCATACAATCCTTCTAAGATTGTGTCACCCTCCACGATAATATGGGGTAGATATTTTTACATTATGAAAATGTTTCATCAATGTGATATCAAGGATAGAGCTGTGCCAGGTGTTTACAATACTTAGTGCGAACAACAACAAGTGTAGCCCAGACATCTCTGACAGCGAGAGCCACATATCAGCCTCTGATGACTATTTAGAAATGAACTACTTCAACAGCCTTCAAAAAAGCACAATGCTTTGCAGAATAAGCAAGAAAACTGTCTCTGCTAAAGGTGGAAACAAACTTGTTTCACCACTTGAAGCAAAAAACACACCATCCAGTATAACCAGGCTATGAAAGACGCGATAATAGCAGCTGGTGAGGAGTGACCCAAAAGTAAACAAATGACTCACTGGAGTACTCACTAGTTGCACTTCATATGACAGGAAGAGCTAATGCTGGGTGGAAATTACTGATACAGTTACGTAGTGGAAAAGTAGGGTTTTAAGCAACTGGCTGCAAAGTCTGACCCAAGACACAACATCCCCAAGTATAAAATATCTTTTAATTTCAATACTGTGGAGGCTCCTGAGAAGTTGCATGGTTCATTTGATTTAGTTATTGTTGAACTAAAGGATAAAGCAGTTATGTTATAGTTTGACTTAAAATTCCCATTAAAAACACTACCAAGGCTACTTTTTTTTGCTTACAGTTGATTTAAACTGTGTTGCTAAATATAATGTTTTGTCACTGTTATTGCATTGTAATGTTAGTGCTGCTGTTGGCACCT